CGAAAAAAAAAAGTGGGAGCCTTCAAAGTTTATGTCACTTCATTCTTAAAATGATCAGAAAATTCCTTCTTAGAAATCAAAATTTTAAACAAAAATTTCTTTGTTAAAATAATAATAAAAAAATCAAAATATTATTTCAAAGGTATTTAAATAATAATGCAAAATATATTATTTATGTTACTAACCTTCCATAAATAAAATGTTTACTAATCTTTTAAATTCGTTATTAAACATAATTATGAAAAATCAAATTTTTGATACCATAAAATTCTACTCTTCATAAAAGGATGCAACATTTTAAAAATTCTGTACAATACGAAAAACAGCATATCTAGATTTTTAATATAATAACATTGATTAACAATTAGATATTTTTAAAAAATGATATTTTTAGTTGCACTAAATAAAACTTTTGTTAAAAAAAAAAAGTCCATATCACAAAACTTAGGAATCAGAAGTTGATGAATAAATCGTTCAAGAAAAATCATTCCCATTTTTCAATTCAGCTTGGACGAGAAAAGCAATTTTGAACTATAGTTCAAAGAGAGAGAGGGTGGGTTAGGATTGCACTAATACTTATAGTAAAATTTTTTGTTAATCTGATTAGCTTAAAACTTATAGGCGATGCAGAAGTTTCAAGATGACATAATGCGGAATGCGTTTTTAGATATGACACAGCTTAGAGAAAGTTATTACTAGAGACAAAGCACCCAAATTAAAAATAAGAAATTAAGAGGCATTTTAAATTATAATTTTGATTTGAATTTTTTATCTTACACACACACACATATATATATATATATGTAATGCATTTATATATATATATATATAAATGCGTGTGTGTGTGTACTCTCACATTCAAATTAACTTTGCAAATCATAATTCGAGTACCGTAAAAAGAAAAGAAAACCCCGTCTTTTTTTAGAAACTGTAGTTATTTCCTGTGAAAATAGAAAAAGCACATCCGGCTGTTGCAGTAAGGAGACTTACGAAAAAGTACAAAAAGTCCTGAAAATATTAACGATGGATTATTTCATAACTAGAAAGATAACTGCGTCAAATCAATGTGTCATAAATGATACGTAAAGCTAGATTAAACTCTCAAATACCGGAAACATTCAAATTAAACTTTGATGGCTTTGCGGAATCTGTACATAAATACTATTTATTAACATTTTTCAAAGATTAGAAAGAAAAAGAGGTGGAGGGAGAAGAAATACGTTTGCTTTTTTCCCCGAATTTTCTATTTGTGTTTCCGATTAGCATGCTTGGTAGTGAAAAAGAGGATGTTTTTGCAGCCCTATTCCATAAAGGAGTTTTACAGACCTCATACTGAATGAAATTTTCAAGAAAAATACTTGCTTAAATATTTATTTAGTCTGATAATACAGGGGGATTTTTTTTAACTTTCATTTATTGCTTCAAGTAAAGCATGGGAAGTTCTTACATCTTGCATAAAGAGCATTATCTGAACGAAATCGTTTTAAGCATTCATGTTGTATGTCTTCATAATTCCTTTATAGGAAACATGAAATGCTGTCGAGGCTTAAATATATGGCTTAAGCAATTAATAAAATATTGAAATGTAGCTTTAAGTATAGGTTGTAATAAACTCATTGAAATCTTTTAAGATTTATATATGCATAATGGAAGCTGAAAAATATGATAGCTCAAGAAGAAACCTGGGAATAAAATATAAAGAACTAAAATATGTTTTCCCTACTGTACTACTACCTGTAACGCGAATAAAAGCCAGCATAAGAAAGCCTTAGAAAGCCAAAGAAAGTCTTTCAGGAAGGCAGCCCTCCATAAGGCAGCTCAGAGTTGGGCAAAATGCAATTGCAATTATAATTACAATTAATCTGTAATTGTAATTGAAGCGTGCAATTGCAATTACGTTGTAATTGTAATTAGATTATACAATTATGTTGTAATTGCTTTTTCAATTACAATTACAATGCAACTTCAGTTAAACTGTAATTGTTATTACATTGTAATTGTGAAATCCAATTACAATTATAACGTAACTGCAATTACATTTTAATTATAGTCACAAAGTATTTTTATAATCTAATTACAATCACATAGTTATTGTGAAATCTGATTACAATTATAATATAATGACACGTCCATTGTAACTGTATAATCTGATTACAATTAAAATTGTATAATCTAATTACAGTTACAACGTGATCATGAATATAATCGAAATTACAATGTAATTGTAATTGCAGAAGATAATTACAGTTACATAATTGCGAAAGTAATTGTCTGTGATAATTTCGATTATAGAGTCTAGGGAAATCGTGATCACATTTGGAAATGATAGTAATTGACAGTATATCCAAAATAATTCACCATTTTATATAGGGAATTGTTAAGTAATATAATGGGAAAATCGCATATAAGGAAATTATTAGTATGTTCCATTTGGAATCATCTTGCTTAATTTTTGCAGTACTACAGCTTGCAATAATAACGTAGTTTATTAACTAATCCTTTGTTAAATACTAGAGATATTTTCAGTAAAGTATGTAAAAGGTATATACCGTATTTGACGGCATATAAGACGCACCCTTATTTAGACGGCCACACACAAGGAAAAAAAGTTTCAATAGCGTGGTTTCTTTTAGTTCTCACGTTTCATAAGCCAAATAAACAATTATTGAATGCAATTATCTTCACGAATAAGACTGTGTCCTTCACGTATAAGACACAGGTAACTTTTTTGAGGCCAAATTTATGAAAAAAAGTGCGTCTTATATGCCGTCAAATACGGTAGTTAAAGCAAAATTTGTTTACACGAACTAATTTCGACTGTTTCATGTAGAACTAAACTTTCTTAAAGAAATATGCGTATTTATGATGTTAGCACACAGATATGTGTATCTGAATTATTTGATTAAAGAAAAGCTTTTTTTCCCCCAATATTACACGGGAAGTAAATCACGAAAATTTCATTTAGTCTTCCCGCTTGAATTCCCTTTTCTTACCTTAGCTGTTAGAAACATGACTCTGATCAAAATTATTTTGCTTAACTGCTATGTATACTAAAATATTTAGTAGCGCTATTGATTGATAATTAGTTAAAAATATTATTTTACTTGCAAGTGATTGCACCTGTACGATCTATTTACTAGAGCTTCAGGTAAAAATAAAAAAGGATAATTTTATTGCCTGTATATTACTGTTCCAGCAGAAGATTAGATTATGTGGATAACGGTAAAGCATACAAAGGCTATCTGCCTAAGGAGAAAGATGCTGGTATTCCCCTTATCAAGGGAAAATTCACAAAAAGGTCTATAAAGCCAGCCTGCTCGTCGTGATTTAAACCAGGGTCAAACTAAAAATGTTAGCTGTCATATCACTCGGCCGCTGGTAGACAACTAAGTGGGGGAAAAAGAAAAGGGCCTTATTTTCCCTCCGAGATTATCCTGCATAATTATTGAGTGAAGTCTAACTTTCAGTAATGATATTGCTTATGAAATAGATCTTCCTTAAATACAGCCCATATTTTCAATAAATAGTTAAAACACATTATTTTTATACAAGTGGATGCCCCTCCCCGAACTAGTCCCCATAGTATATCAGATTAAAAAAACAAACATAACGTTATTGAAAAGAAGTGTGTGGAGATAATGGTTACCAACGGAAAAATGGAATAATTTTCTAACCGACACCGTTCTGCATAATTATTGAATGAACTCCAACTTGCAGTAATGATAACAACTATGAAACAAGGCAGTAGTTAGTTACGAAGGGTCCGGGTTCGAATCCCGAAGAAGTCATGGATATTTGTAGATGTATAGTACATGTGTGGTATTGCGGCACCCTAAATATGCGGTGAGCCGAAAAGTCCTTTCGAGAGGTTGGTAGGTGAGCAAGAATGGGGAGAGGGGGTGGAAAACGCTCGGACACGTCCCTTGCGGGATGCTCTCCTTCAAAATTGGGGGTGGAACTGAGCAAGGTCACCTCTTGTTGTCACCAAGACTCTTGCCAACGATAGGCGCAGTCTTGACTCCTTGCCACGATGAATTTCGCGGACTTGCTCTAATATCAGAAAAGGGAGATTAGTCACAACAGCAACAATAACAACCATGAAACAGGCTTTTATTAAATATAACCCATATTTTCAATAAATAGTTAAAATATAATTTTTTACTGGTGGAGGCACATGATTTAACTAGTTTCTACAGCTTCAGGCAGAAATAAACAAGCATAATATTATTAAACAGAACCGTCTGAAGATGACAACTGCCAGCAGAAAAATGGAATTATTTTCTATAAGAGACCATCCTGCATAATTATCTAGTAAACTCAATTTGCAGTACGACATTAGCTATGAAATAGGCTTTTATTAAATATGCAGAGTTATTATTGGAAACTAACTAGTTGTTATGATTTAGATCTTTACTGTAACTTTTCTTTTCCGTTTCCTCACCAGAATGTAAACTGAGACAAAAGTATTCAAGCTGAAGATTTTTGACTGAAAGACCGAGCTTTTTTCTGTCCCTCATGGCTAAGTTACTTATTTCCTGCCGTCTTTGTTAAGTTTCTAATTATTCGGCTTTGTATTATTGCTGCCGACTTGTGCACTGTTACGCCGGATAGAGGTTTGAACCAAGTTATATTTAAATTTAATTGTGTAGCCTTTGACTGCTAGTCTACGTTTTAAATTTTGAATTTGACTATTAGTTTAGTAGCATCTTCACCATCTATGCTTTTAACAACAACAACAGCAAATAATAATAATAATAATTATAAAATAAATAAAAAAATAAAATAAAAAAATTTACATTTCTACTTTTTTTTTCAGTTAAATATTAGTAAATTATTTTCAATAACTCTCTAATGGCTAGGTTTAGGAAGTACATATCCTGTTCGCAGAGCTTCTAATAAAACCCTGCTAAGTGGGAGTTTAAATGTATTCTGGTAAACTTCAATCACATTATGGTAACCATTCTCACGTATAGTATAAAAGCTCCAGGATCTTTGCATTTCCTGCATTTTTTTGCACTAACGTAGTCTTTTGTATTTCGTTTATTCGTCCAGAAAGATACCGTCAAAAACTATTTTTTGATTGATTTTGAGTCATTTTTCTGAAGTTGGTAAGAATTTCTATGTATAATTTTAATTCTATTTAGACTTGCAAAAACCAGTTGCAGTAATTTGATTAATAACTTTATAAAAATGATTAATAACTTTTTGATTAAGAACTGTAAGCGTGATTAGTGTTGTGACTATTAAATCTGATTAATTGGAATTTTACTCAATTTCGAAAGAGTCTTTTACATTTCAAGGTGGTTACGAAACGGATTCCTCACTTACATATTTACTCCTGAACTTTTGCCCGTTTGAGATGCTTTTTCTCTTTGAGAATGATGCTAAAGGCTTTTAAAATATTTTTTTCTTTTTTAATTTTATTCTGCGTTTAATAAATAATTACTCATTGTATTAATAAGCTGTGTAATGAAATCAATTCAGTGTAACAGGCAGGATAGGCACGAAGTTTCCGGCATTTGCCTCCTAATTCAGTAAATAAATAAATAAATAAATAAAAGGAATCTGAATGCAACGAAAGCCAATAGTTTGATAAAAAAAAAAAAAAAAAAAAAAAAAAAAACAGCCAAATTTTAGCTTCAGGTTAGTTTTGATTTGAAAGAAATGTTGTATACCTGTTTACAGCATTCAGCGTAGGTGTCTCGTCTTCAGGCAAGGAAAATATACTATTGCAGAATATTTTTGGTTTGGACTTTTGTCAAATACTTTTGAAATTTACTCGAATTATTCGAAATCTACTTGAGTTAAAAATTCCAAATGGATACCCCTTTTTTTTGGTCAATATTTTCTCTTCTTTTATTTACTAACGTTCATCTGAAAAAAATCTGAGTCTTATATTTAATGTTTCAGTGACAAAATTTAATGTTTAATGTGACAAAAGTTAATGTTTAATGTGACAAAATTTAATATTTAATGTTTCTTGGTAAATATTTTAAAATTATTTCGCTTGATAAATATTTTACTCTTTGCAGAGTAATTTAAATTGATAGGTGGATGTTGTTTTAAAGTGTATTTCAACTATGGTAATGCTGATGGATATAATCACCATATTTCAGTAAACGACATTTCATGAATTTATAACATTTCAATAAGCGATAAGCGACCGAGGACGTGGGCACTATTCCTTTGCCATTCGGTTAATCAGTACAGCACCACGTCCACCCTTATCTAGAGTTGGCTAGTTGGTGTGGCCACACGAGAGCCTCGCACATGACTCCGAGATCCAGCGCCTAGAGCATCCGGTGGGCAGTCGAACAGACCAATATGCCCCAACAATTTTAAAATATAAGTTTTTTATATTTTCAAAATTTGTAGCAAACATAGCACAATAAAGAATCTAATCTGGTTACTACATGGCATTCAAAATAAATTATCACCGAAAAAAGAAGAATCTGCATGTATGGACGGATATAAGCTACTCACACTGGCCACCAAATTTGGAGTAAACGTAGTCGAACATGATGTGCACCTCGAATACCAAATTTTGAATTTCGAGTTTGTTTTTTAAATATTTCATATTTTATGCTAATTGATTGGATTTTTGGTTAACCTAATCAGTGATTTCAAAATTATGTTGCCATTGCTCCAAATAAAAGTATTATGATTTTTTTCTGCAGCAGTTGGTCGCCGTTTAGCAAAGTGTAAAATTTCACTTAAGATCTAAAAATTCACTCATAATAATTTCACTAAAGATTCATTCCTCATCAGTTATCTTTCAGATTTGATCAATAAACTCAGCTATTTAAAAGCAATGTGTTGTCACTGCCAGAAATAAAATACTTTTATCCTTCACCTGCAAGTGTATTGTTATTTGGCAAAGCATAAGATATTTTACTTTCATATATAGTCTGTCTGTTTCTGATTAAGAAACTAAGTGATAAAAATGCTATAGAGGCAATTCTTAATTGTATTTTAAAATTTTTAATATGATTAATTTAATTATAAAATAATATTAATAAAGTTTTTATAAATTAAGCTTTTATTAAAAATTCATAAAGTAATTAAGTATTAAGAGATATTAAAGAGATTAAGTAATTCTCTTTACAAAATTCATGTACAATTTTATATTACGAAAAGTCTTTTAAAGCTCTGTTGTCATTTTCAGCATCAACGGGATTTCATCGTCAGGGAACACAATAAAAATTTTGGGTTAAAGATCAGTAAGATAGCATTTGTTTCCTATGAAAAATTAGTTTGGTAGTTTCAGCATAAGAGCCCCCTTATAAATTTCTATGAATACAAAAAGGAGGTATAATGCAATGCTTTATGATGGCGATCACATTCTAAAATTAGATGATACTGGATAAGGAATTTTCAGACGTGAAAATGTAGTTCATCTCCTACCTGAATAAACCTTACTAAACGAAGACATCTGGTCTAAAAAATATTCAGTTAGTAATAGTTGAAGTAATAGTTGATTTTATTATGGAATAAAAATGAAGATAATGCTTTTGAAAGCATTTTACGTATGTTGCATTGGCACTGCCTTCTTTCATAACGTATTCTGTGTGCAGCAAGATCTTTCTTTCCTTTTTGCCATTTTATTTATTTGTATAAGTTGCGTTTCAAACGTTTTTTATTTCCTTTGTTCAACGTAATTTATTTTTTTGTCAAATTCCCTGCTTATTTGATCAAAATTTTATTTCATTTTAAATTGCGCCATTCTTTTTTTTAATAAACCTTATGATTATATTGTCAGTTTTTTATTACTACCTTGCATGATATTGTTACATTGCATGATAAAATAAAAATTACGGATTTCTTACATTAAAAAGTAAATGCTCTAGCTCAAATTTTTAGCTGCCCAACCAGTATAATGGTTAGCGTCACTGACTTCCGTGCCCAAGGCCCCGAGTTCGAATCCTGGCGAAGGCATTAATGTTTGCAAATGTATAGCCCCCATGCAGCATGCGGGGCACTTAAATATGCGGCGAGCTGAAAGTTCTCTTGAGAGGTTGGTTGTATAGGAAAAGGGATGGGAGACCCTCGGACCCGCCTCCTAAAGTGCTCTCCATCAAAATTGGGGGCGGAAGAGCTAAATCGCATTGTCACCTCTAAGGTGCTCAAGGCTGTTGCCAACGAAACTTGCGCTCCTTGCCACGAGGAATTTCATGGCCTTGAGCTGACTGTAGGTAAAACAAGTGAGCAATAACAATAACAGTATATTTTTTATGCAGCGCAAGGGGCAAGTTTAATTTGATGTGTAAGATATTTTCACTTTGCCATAAATTTCTTTTCTTAAAAACGAGCAGGATTTCTTTAATTATTGAACCTTTCCTAGTATAATGAAAATAAATAAGTATTACCATCTATTACATATTTTGAAGTCAAACTAAAAATATCTGAGAAAAATATGTATGTTAAAAACAGATTAGTAATTTCACTAAAAACTTTGCCTTTATTTTGTACAGCATATTCCGGAAGCTTGTTATAAATAACTCGAATATGGAAACATTTTACTAATAATATATTTCATTAAGCACTCTGAAGTAAATGCTTGTAATGAAAATAATTTCTTTTTTCAATTAAAACATTTTACTCAGACTAAAAATATATATATTCAGATGTTTTATATGTCATGGAATCACAGCTTACGAGCCACCTTAATCAGTATACTGATTTGGGCTTCTGGCTGCTGTATCGTTAGACTTAGGTTCGAATCCCTGAGAAGGTCTGGATGTTTGTAAGTGTATAATCAGCATGGGAGCATTCAAAATACCGCCGAGTCAAAAGAGCTTTCGAGATTTTTGCTGATAGGGAAAGAGGGATGGGAGGCTCTTGGTCCCGTCCCTCAGGATGTTCTCCATCAAAACCGCAATGGAACTTCACCGTTCTCGCGTTTGTAAATTACCCCTCCTGTAATGCATTTTCAGCAAAAAATCTGGGTAATGAGTCTGCTAGCTGACCAATGGGTATTGGTCTTTCACGGCGATTTTATTAAGTTGCAAGTGTCCGGCTATTTGAAGCAGCAAAATCTTAAGAAATCTGAAGTCTTGTTTTGTTATAGATATTTCACTGATATGGAGAGTATTTTCTCTTACTTTTCTAAAATAAAGAACTGCATGGTCTCAAACATGCTTTCAAGAAATTTATGAAAATAGTATTTTTGCTAATAATTTAAAAAACTGCTATATCTTCAATTGCAATCTTTTCTTGTTGTGATAATTGTGATCTATAAAAGATAAGAAATCAATGAGAAAACAAGAAAATCAATTTGGTGACTAATTACTTTAATAAACTATGTTGCATATTTTCTTAAAATTAAAAAAGAATAATTTTAACAAATGCCAGAAAAAAATAATTAAGAATTGACGGCCAAAAGTCCGTCAATGCGAAAATAGATTTTTAGTTGTCAATAGTTTAATTCCGGTCTTCCGTTTTTTTCGTTTATTTAATTTGCTAATTACTTGTGAAGAATTTGTAAATGAAGCTTCTTGAAATTTTATTTAAAAAAGAGAGAGAGAGCATCTTTTAACTAAACCGGGCACAAATAACTATATCGCTGTACATGCAAGTTTTTTTTTTTTTTTTTTGATGAACTGAACCGTACAGCTGTTCATTATTAGTTCTTTCAGTATTAAAAATTTCCTTTATTATTTATTACCATCAATTTTTTAACCTGTTTATGCCATGTCCACAAAGTTTCAAACCCAAACTTTATTTTCTCAGCTACTATATTTACTCTCAATTACAAAAATGTTTTAAATGATGAAAATGTTCAGGTTTTAGAATTTTTGAATGAAAGAAATCAATTACGTAAAAATAAAGAAAATTAATTTTACATGTGTTACTCCGGTCTCTATGTTGATATATAGAAAAATGCTTGTACTCTTTAAAAAAGTTAAATACAAAAAGTTTGGATTACGTGCGACAAAAATATTGACCCAGATATTTAATCTCAAAATTGTCCATTTCTGACGCAATTTTCTGCTTTCACGGAGGGGTCGGTTAATAACTAGACTAGAATAATTCGAGACTGATTTTTCTGCCAATGTCTGTCAATTTTCAAGCAATGTTATTCGATGATATGCTTTTGCGATTTACTAAA